AAAAAAATTAAATACCTTAACGCACTATTAATTTCCGTATCCTGATCCATTTTTATTTCTATTTGCCTGTGGAATTGTTCTCTCTTTGCCCTTATTTTCCCCCGCTTTGTGGAGCCTCTGTTTCTTCAACTTGAATAGTGATGGAGGTGATGGAGATAAAACTGGTGGCGAGTCCTGAGGCAGAGGTAGTGAAGATGGTGGTACCGTCCATGGAGGAGGCTTTCCTGACCTGATGTGAGAGCTTCCAGTGTGGAATGTTTACTGCATCACTGGAACCTCAGTCACAGCTCACTTTGTGATTCAGAAGGACGGTGAAGCAATAGATCACAAATTATACTTACAAACTTGCCTTTGGAATTTCTAAAGGAAGGAGCATTCATTAAATGTACTGTCTCATGCTAGGCATAGTGGTGCACACTGTATCCCAGCAACTTGGGAGGCTGAGGCAGGAAGATTGCCGGCTGGAAGCCAGCTTCAGCAACTTAGTGAGGCTCTAAGCAACTAAGCAAGACCCTGTCTCAAAATCAAATATATATATATATAAAGCAAAAAAGGCTGGGATGTGGCTCAGTGATTAGGTGCCCCTGAGTTCAATCCCTGATACCAAATTAAATAAATAAATAAATAAATAAAAGAAAAAGAAAAAAGAAAAGGAGGACTAGGGATATAGCTCAGTTGGTAGAGTGCTTACCTCACATGCACAAGGCCCTGTGTTCAATCCCTAGCTCCACAAAAATTAAAAAAAAAAAAAATTAAAAAAAAAAAAAGGAGCTTGCTACCATGCTATCACTTCCTCCAGAATCTTCTATCATCACCTGTGTTAGCTGGAAATTATGTTTCCCAGGAATCCCTCTTTCTCTGTGGTTCCAGGTTAGAATCCTTCAAGGAAAGAATCCATATGAGATTTTGGGGGACATCATTATCTGAATGCTGTCATCGTCCTATGCGTTTACTCATAGATACAGTAGTGTCTGGCAGGTTTCAGCTTGTCCTCTGCTCCCCATTACCCTGCCTCTGGCTTTTCCTCCAAACTGCAGATGTTGCTAATCAACAGCAGCCCAGGCCTATCAGCCAGCAACTGCCTGTGGACCCACAGAGGCAAACTCTTCCTCTAGATTTCACCGTTAGCCACTCCTTCCTGGTCCTAGCAGAAGCTAGACACCCCTGGCTTTTCAGCCTGACTGGGTTAAGGAGTTCTCTGATCCTCCAAGCCTTCTTTCCAGATATTCAATAGCCCGGTTTTCCCCACCAAAYGTATATGATCTGATTTTAAAAATAAATCCTTTATTCCATGACCTCTAGAGTTCTGCCGTGCGGATGGAACCCTAGCTGATACAGGCACCACCCCCACCCTGCCCCCGCCCAATTCTTCCTCTCAGGATATACACAGTCACCAAACCTGTCAGACCTCTCTCTGTAACATCCCTCTACTCATCCATTCTCACCATCCCAGGCACTAAAATAGCCTTCTCAGATTGCTACGCTGCCTTCCACTTCTCTGCCCACCTCCAGTCTGGTTCCCCTCTYTAGAGCAATGGGAAGTGATCCCCTAAGGCCCATTACTGGCCTCCTCTTCTTTTTGTATAAAAGTGGTGTTTGACAAAGCTCTGCCTCTTTTGGCTTCTGCTAGCTTCTCCAGCTTCTTGGCTTCAATGTTCCCTCCATCCATGCCCATGTGTAGTCATTAGACAAATCTTGGCCAGTTTGATAGGATATGGCATTGGGCTGTTTTAAACTCTTCTTATTCACTGAGGTTTGAGTCCCCCCAGATATTCAGTTTCTGCATATTTATTTCTAGCAACTGCCTCATCCCGAGGCCACAGTATGCATGGGAAGGACTTGAGACCTCTCCTTCATGCTGGTGCTGAGACTTGAAGGCTTTAGCTCCTAGGGTGGGTCAGGTGACTCAAAGGCCAGTTGCAGTCCTCATATCTCACCTCCACATGCAGCTCCCGGGCCAGATGGTGATTGGAGTAGAATGAGAATCTCTTATAGAAGTTAACTTATYACTCAATGCTGAATTCTCCCTGCAAAGACAAAAATAGAGAACAAGTAGTCCTGAAATACTTCCCAAGAACCAGGGTAGGTTATCTCTATGTGAAATCCCAACAGCTTATTTTCTTTCAGAATTGTATTTATTGCGTGTAAATTTTGTCTACCCACTAAGTGATTATTTTATTTGTGTTATTCATTTTATTGAAAATTAAGCCCGGGCTGGGGATGTGGCTCA